GTTGCACGTGCTCCGCCTACGCGCTGCTGCCGTTTGCGACGCTGTCCTTGCTGTCCCTGGTCCTTGAGGCATTCGAAGGAAAGATGTGCAAGAAGGAAGCGGGCTGTGCAGCGGCATGGCGATTGCAATTGGACGAGCCATTACAGGAGCAAATGTCAAAATCAGCGCTTGCCAGAGTACGGTGTTCCGGTCTATGGTCCACAGCGGGCGGCAGGCACAGCCAAGCAAACAGCTTGCCATCTTGCGTGTGTCATGCTTGGTCATCAAGCCACATGACTCGCGTTGCCCTGAAATTCTTGGTCTTCTAGAGAACACGCCTTGGTAGGCCCTACTTAAGGCCCTGAGACCCAGCATCGCAGTTGCTGGAACAAGTAAAAGTCAGAGCCTCGAGCGAATATTGCTTTGGACCCGGCATCCGTCAGATGCAGTGTTCCAGTCTTTGGTCGAAAGTCGCCACTGGCACAAGGCCTTAGGCTTTGAGAAGTTTCGAAATAGCTACGAACCGTGGGGAGCAAGCGGAAAAGGGCAGATCCCAGGCCAGTTCCGGCTGAGGGGTGGTCTTTGACTTTAACCATTGCGGCCATTGCGAACTCCAAAACTTAATTCGAGTAAACTGTTCTATGCACACAAAATCAGCAAGTATCCGCTAGCGCAAGCTGCGCAGAATCAGCAGGCCACTTGCAAGTGGCTAGTGGCATCTTGAAGCCGGCGGCTTGAGGATGGCACAGGGTGCTCGACTCTCGTACCCTCGCCTGGCTCTGCAATGAACACTTGCACCCCCATTCAAGCAGCCTTCAAGCGGCTTATGCGGCTTGGAGTCTCATTGCAAAGCACGTTGAGAATCTTGCAAGAATGCTGCATGAGTCAGTAGCCAAGCAATGAGCGAGAGAGACTTCGAATGCTTGAGAATGGGCTTGTTGTTCCTATGTGCAGACCGTCAGTCTGAGAACAGGATCCTAGGTGTTGAGTCTTGATGGAGTACTCAGTACCGCATTTGCTCGCAACTGTCTTGCTTGCCTCTGCACGCTTCTCGCCCCAATAGCTTTCACCATGCGCTTCCGATCTCCAAGCTCAGTCATCGCGGCGGTAAGGTTTTCAGGAGGCAAAGCAGCATTGCATGCACGGACAGTGCATGGCTGCTAGGACGGCTCGTTGGTCGCGACAACTGGCAACTTCTAAGATTTCTGAGATACAGTTACAGGCCGGGCGAATTCCGACTCCAGAAAATCCGAGTCATGCCCCTCCAGAGCCGTCGGTTTGTCCAAGGCTTGGGAGTGGGTCAGATCTTGATCGAGCTGTCTCCCACAGTTTGCCGCTGACAGCTGTGGAATTGCGTATGGTCTTGGCACCACCCGGCAAATCCGGCAACCACGGCACGTCCGTGGCATGGCTGGCTCCCGCGAGGGACACGCTGCGACATCCTGGCCTTCAGGGACAGCTTGAATGGTATGGCGATGCAAAGACGAGCGGCATGTCTTGCATGTCATGCTGTCTGGCACCGCCTGACAAGCTCTTCGACTTCGGCTTGAAACGATTCGTACGCAACCTCGTGAAGCACCATGTGCCAGCACTTGCCACTCGAATCACTGGTGCCGAGCGGCCACGGGTTGGTGAAAGCCGCAGATATCCGCAGATCAGCCCCTCCTTGCACAGCCCCATCAATGTTGCGTCAGGCAGAAAGAAGGCGCACTAAGCCAGTAATCCCTCAAATCCTTTCCCTCCAGTTGAATGCTCTCCAAGCTAGCAAAATGTGATACATTGTGAAGCATTTCGCACTGTTCACGCTGTTCACACTGTGCTGTTCACACTGGGGCTCCCTGAGGCCCAAAGCATCCAAATTGTATGGTGCACGAGGAGAGCACAGCCCTGAGCGCAGCTCTCAGACGCGGAGGCTTAAACCTGTGATGCTCAGCAAGGAGGTGCTCAAAATTTGGTGCCCAACAGACGGGTTTTCGTAAGTTTCAGAAGGTCCATGGTGTGATGCGTCGTCTATCTAGGCCACGCTGCCATGGGTGGATGCACAGGCCCTCTCTGAACGGCACCGGAGACAGGCTCTTTGCGCTGCAGACGCCGCTTAGACACAGACCTAGGCTTAGAGTCTTAGGTGAGATTTTGGGCTCTGTGGCTGTTTTCGTGTAGCAGCCTGATTACCGCCGATGGCACTCACGGTTCAGATCCCGCCATGCGTTGTTTGGGGGATCCTTGAAATTAGACCCTAAATTGAACCCGAACCCCGGCCCTCCTGTACATCACAGGGTGCTTCCTCACAACGACAGTGATTAGGGGAGGGGATGGGAGGGGGGTTACAGGATCATATCATGCCTTGATGCCTTGGGGAGCAGAATTGGCACAAACTGAAGCTGGAGATGCACGGCCGCACCCGATGGTTCTGGTGAATCATCGACCTGACGGCTTAAGCTCTTGGGGCTTTCTCGCGGAAATTTTGGCTTGAAGATGGCTTCGTTGACTCGACAACGGCCTGCCCTCAGTCGGTGCGCGCAATGAGGAGAACCTCGTCATGTTCCCTTCGGAACCCAGTGGAGTCAGAAGCCGCTGACTGCTTGAACCTCGAGACCTCGATCGTCAGGTTTTGGAGCTCACCCTAAATAGGCTTCGTCGCTCACGCTTGCACACCGGCAGGCAAAGCAATTGGATCAGGCTTGCATGTCGCGCTTGGCATGTCGCGCTTGGCTCAACGTCTACCCTGGGCATTTGGGAGCGAAAGATGGGCCGATGTCGATGGAATTTCAGAGGCATAGCAGTGTGGACAAAAGCCCCAGGACGGCTTCTTCGCCATCCCTCCATTTCTGTGCAAGAGTGACATTTGTGACATTGTGACATCTTGCGACCCTCGGTCTTGGAATCTGCTTCGTCGCTTTGGGGATGCCACAGAAAGAGGTACGCTAGTAGACGAGTACAGGAAGCCATTGAGCAGGGCAGTTCCTTACTCGCACCCGGAAGAGTTTACAAAATCAGAAGGTCTGCCGCTGGGACAAACCTGGGCCATGAAGTCCATCTTCGACGAAACTTGGAGGCCCAAATGTTTGGACGAAGTCGAAGTTTTGATTCAGATTCATCTCCGAGTCATCTCCCTCAGAGCCGTCGATTTGCTTGAGAGCCCTGATAGTCAGGGATGATGGGCCCAGGGGCACCTAAAGTGGCTGCCTCACAAACTGTCGTCGTCCACGTGCTCGTGAACCGAGCCCAACTGCCTAGGCACGCAACTGTGTGGACCGGACAGAGGAGCCTTAAATGAGCCCCGGTCAACATTAGTTGTTGCATCGAAGGACATGGGTCTCGGGGATACTGTTTTCCGCTTGCCCCCTATCGTTCTAAGACTGATTCAAGCAGAAGATGAAGACAGAACGTTGAGATTATCGCTTCGTAGTTGTCCCCACACATTCTGTCGACCAATATTAATATTTTCCCGGCCAGAAATTGATGTCCATCCCTTGCCACAGCAAAACTGATCTACACTTAACTTTCACCCTCATTCAGTAGGGTGCCGCCGCTACGCAGAACCTGCGGAACCACAAGGCACTACGTGGCTTGCCACGGCCAAGAATGTCAAGAGTGGCACAAGTTCTACGATCATCCCAGCAACACCATGCATTGCAACCGGAGAAGCCCACCAATGTTCGCCCTGCGCGCTGTCGAAGACATGCTGTAGCTACTGTAGCTCGCGGGGTTTCGTCTCAACGGATCCCAAACTCCTCCTAAGCTCTACACGATGGCATGGTGCTGCCAGGTAATAGCAAGGTTGACAACCATGCAATGGCTGGCTTTGCACTGAAAATTCGACGTACTCTTTCGAACATGTGCTCTTGCAACTACAGCTGCTTCACAGCGCATGTCGTGTGATCGGAGGGGACTTAGGGCCTGTGAGACCTATAGGACCCCAGCCGACTCTAGACTCTAGTCGACTCTCGTTCGTGCAGGCATGCCTAGGGCGTATCACCAACTACCCGAAGGAACCCGATGTTCACGCTGATGTTTGGCCCAGCGCCTGGCTGCCAAATCTTGCCCGTATCTTCGGACGCTTCAGCGTACATTCTTTGACATTGTTTGACGCTGTTTGTGGCAAGCGTCGACATGGCCGCAACCTTTGTGCAGCTTCCACGCCGCAGCGACGGCAAATAGTGCGCTGCCATGACTTTCTTGCGGATGGTGGGCCTCAAAATGGGGCGTTTCAGTGTGGAGTCTGGATGCAGGCTATGGGAGTTCATGGCTCCACACTCGGTGTGGCTGCAGAGTTGAGAGTCATTGAGAGGGTTAAGCCTCAAAGTCGAAGACTCAGTCGGCTCTCGAGTCAGAACATATCAATGCCATCATTGACCGGAAGAAGACATACAAGGCAAGACGCTTGAGAAGTGTGTGTAGGACTGAATGGGACATCTTACACTTCGCGTTTTTTCACGATGGGGCTTTGCCAAAGCTAACGTAGATGCATAGCTTTTTTGGCGCAGGCAACTGATCCAAAGACAAAGCCAGAAACTGCTGCATTCTGGAGGAAGAAACGCAATCGTAGCCCGGAATGCGCTGAGGCTATGAAACGTGCGCGAATGAGTTTTGGAACGGTTCATCAGCATTGTCTGCCTGCGTTTTGCAGCTGTGTCAGTGGCTTCGGAGCGGCTCACTTAGAGTTCGGGATCAAAATGTGCAAACGAGTGGAAGCGGGCATCGTCTGCAACGTGGCGCACGGGTGCTAAGTCTTCTTATGCTTGAACGCAGAGTCTCAGTTGAGTCCTATAGAGCCGGGCCTGCGTCGAACTGAAAGTTGAGCCTTCGCGGGGGGCTTTGACACGCTCCAGTGTCATGATGTCTCATGAGGGATGGGTCGGACGGGCGGTGCAGATGAGCAGTACACCGAAGCTATTAAAGCTGCCAAGCTGCAGAGGCTCGTCACATACAGGCTTACGACAGTGTTAAGGGCCTCATGAAGCCCCAATGAGACATTTTGAGCCCCAAGCACTGAACCACTCTGAACCACGAACAGGAAAATGACCTTCTACGAATCCATGCCCGGCCATGCCCTGGAGGTGACAAGTGCTTCTGAGATCTTCAGAGTGGCCTTGACCTTCGGCCCCCCCCCCCCCATTGTCTGAAGAGTATTGTAAACATAATGTTGTGGCCGCTTGCGGGACGTGTTTGTAATGACCAGGCATATGAAGCACTAGCAACTTGAGTGGCAGCATCCAAGGCAGCAAGCCACAACATCCACAACACCCACAGCCCCCGCGGAAACCTGAAAAAACGGCTGCAGGGTGTAAATTGATGGCTGTTCTGTGCACGTACGACCCATCAAGGCATACCTGAACATATCCTGTCCGAGGCAAGATCTGATGCTGCAAGCTTCCTCCGCCACAACCAGTTGGCAGATCCCGCACCCTCGTCTGCAAGCCAGGCGTGGCGAGAGCTGCGAGAGGGGAAGCGCTCTGTTCTGCAGGCGTCTTTCGATGAAACGGAGAAGCCGGCTCAGTTGGCTCAGCACCGCACGGTCAGGGCAGAGACGTGCATGTGCCTGTAGGGTCCAGCCTGCATCGCAGTCTCAGGGAGCCCCCTGCAATGGAAAATTGCGCTCCCTAGGGCCCTAGGGGCGGGCTCAATACAAATGATAGCCTACTGCTCGTTTGCCTATCTCCATGCTGAAGATAGTCAATCGTCAGCAGCAGTGTGCAGATCAATGCAGTAAGGGATGCATGAGGCATCGCCGGCAAGGAGCAATCATCGAAAGGATGACTTGACAAAAGCCAGCTTGACTTCTGCCTCACTGGTTCTCCACAGCCCACTCAGCTTCAGGAGCCAACGCGCAGCATCCAAAGTTACAGGGGCAATAGGGCCTTTCAATAGGGCGACGTCCACGAAGCCGACATGCTTGTAACAGGCACTGTGTTTGCTGCACCACATCCGCATTTCACAGCCGCTTTGGCTTGCGGAGCGTGAGATATGGATGGATGTAACACTATGTAGTCTGTGCCGGTTGATGTTGGTCCTGTGAGGCACCGTCAGGCTCACCAAGCTCGTGTGCACGACCAGGCATGGCACGGCACGGTACCCCTGCAGGTCAATCGTGACTCCCAACGCCTCCCAAGCACCCAAGCTTATCACCCGGGGTTTGCTGTTGATTCCATGCCGCGGTGAGGAGCAAACTACAGCCTGGCCTTGGAGAAAGCACGAAGTTGGGGAAGCCCAAACACGACCCAGGAAGACTTGTATTGAGTCATTGTTGAAAACGTTGAACTTAGACACTTAGAGCGCCCACAGTACCGATGTCGGTCTCTTCAGGCTCGGGGTCCCCGAGGCTGATACTGGGTTGAGACGTCAGGACCATCCAGCACTGCACGCTGGACATCAGAAGCTCAAACTCTAACGTCGTCCATCACATGATGCGCTGCTCACGGACCTTACGGCCTGGATCAGGGCTACTTCTAGAGCTGGCTCACGGGATGTTGAGCGCCTGGAGGTGCTGCTCCTGCCTGTCCTGGCATATCTCACTGGGAACTGTGCTGTTGAAGTACCACCTGCCCGAGCCATCGCAGAGCTGACTCGCTTGACAGGGGTGACACAACAGACACAGAGCCGAGAGGAAGATGTAGACTTTGCATCATCGAAGATGATGACGCTCTCAAAGAAACAGCCTCACAAAAGAACACAGGTGCAACAACAAGTGCTTCACGCAGAGCCGGGCGAGACCGCAAGCAATACTCCTACCAGAGAGAACCTTTTGCTTCTCTCTGCTATTCTGCCTGAACTCGTTCCATGAGAAAGCTTTCTCGTACGTAGTGTCCATCCACGGGCAGCAGCAAGAGCAGTGCACGAGCTCTTCAAGATCAGGTGGGCGGGTGACAAGTCATGACACAAGCTGCGCCCCAGTCACTAACCCCGACCACCTGCCCAAATTGAGCAAATTGAATGCACTCCACTCTGAGCGTGTTGCGAGAAGAGCCCCGTCTGAAAGACCAAGAGAACAACCCATGTGGTGGCGGTCTTGACTGTCCTTCGCCAACTGCACAATCTTCAAGTTTGAGATGCTATACTGCAAGAACAAACTGGTGCCGCCTGCGCCATCGCTGGCATCTTGCCAACCAGGCGAGTAGCCACTACGGGGAGCCACAGAACACTGTTTTGAGCTTGTTCCGAGCTGCCGCTGAACTAACGCAGTGCTATCTCTGAAGGAAGGCATCGCCCGCCAAGATGCAGCCACCCTGTCGCTTGGGACATCAAGGCCTATAGGGCATACGGGGCATCTGCCTCCGCGCAGCCACCAACATTGACAGCTAAGTCTCTGAATTCTCTGCCAGCCCGGCCCACTGCCTTTCAGCTGCCGTAAGCCTTCGCGGCCTTATCTGACATGCCCTCCGAGGCCCCAGACTGATTCAGTTATGCCCGTGGCCTCGATGTTCCATCTTGACAGGAGGGAGTATAGGGACACTGGCGGGGGCGTAGATGGGGCTAATCGGGGTAGAGGACGAGGTTCGATTTGACTGTGAGGGCACGATGCTACGGCCACAGGGTTTGTGAAAAGAATCATGCTGTCGACACCTGCGCAGTCCATGCCCGAATCTAGTACAGGGAATGCCAGCAAAGAGAGTCAGGCCTGCATGCGATCACCCGGAAGGGGGCGCGAGAGCTCGGATGGGAGGAATGGGAGGAAAGCTGCGGAGATCTGCGGAGCAAGAGCACGATGCTTTGCCGCCTTGACGCAGTGCAATTACCTTTTCGACTGCGCATGGAACTTATAGTTGTCAGAATGGTGTTGTCAGAATGGTGCTCGCTTTGGGCACCTGCACAGCCCTCAACACACCAAGCCCATGCAGCATTAACGCGAACTAGCACCTCGTGCTGAAACTACGGAGTGCCCTGTAGCATGCCTTCGCCAGACCCTCCCAAACCAATACCTCTTGCAGCTAGGATCCGACTGCGTTGGGCTTCGAGTGATTTACCGGCACCGAGAACAAGTAGCATCTCAGATCTCTCTGCGCTTGCGCACAAAACGGAAAGCTAGCGACCAACCTCTGGGCACCAATGAATTCTAAAATTCTCACTTGTCCGCCGGCGCTCTGCGCAATCTGAGTTTTGCAGGCTTACTTCCCCTCCCCAACACAGGCCTGCGGCTGCAGATGCTCCCGTGTGCGGACGGACACCGGGCTGCCCTGGAAGGCGTCCAGGTATTCAGCAGGCGACATAGCTTTGACATGGACTCTTGCACGGCGTGCCGTTCGTGCTCGAGCGGAATCTGACGCCAGGCAAATCTTTGCCATCCAATCGTCTCTTGCAAGGGTTGCGTCAATTGCCCTACTGCGTGCAGCTTTGCATTGATTATCTCCTGTTGGCTTGGCGACCACATCGCAGGCCTTGGCCAAAGTGGTGCCGTCTAGAAGCCCTTCTGCTCGGGACAAGCGCTCTCGTAGAGGCTCCAATGTCAAGTCCACCAAAAAAGAGACATGGTTGTACACGATGGCGCGGGACACGATTCGAATATTTCATTCCGCTGCTTGGACAACTTGAATGAACACAAACAGCAGCATCGTCAACGCCGTCGTCGGCGTGGTTCCCTGCCATTTATTTGCATCAAGGATTGCAACTTGCCCTCTTTGACTCCGAGGAGCAGGTGTCATGTAAACACAGCAGGACGCGCGAGAACTGTGTGTGGACGAACGTGCGCAGCGGCACAATGGACGCAGCGTCCTGGCTGAAACTGCACGGCACCGCTGAAAGGCCCACTTGGCATGACACTAGACAGCATGTCGTGATCCACCTGGCAACATCCTGCACATGCTGCGCCACATTTGCAGCAGAACATGAACTCCAAGGACATGCCAAGACTTGCTTGCCCTCCCCAATCGATGCGCGACGCAGGGGCTGCAGGGGCTTGGATTAGCACCGTTCTGTTCCGGCGTGGGAATGGCAGCTTCAGGTGGTCGAAGAGCACTTTCGTAACCAGACAAAGAGCCATTAGAAGGAGTAGGAAGCGGGAGTCATGTAGGTGGAGCTTATTCAGAAACTCTGGGCAGCGTGAGAGTTTGGCTTTCAAGCCCAAGCGTGAGACGTCTTGCCTTACTCAGCCAACTCTTTGAAGTCTCCTGGTACCTGAAGGCCCTAAAGGCCCCAAGAGGGGCTCAAAGAGCCTCGACAAGACGCCCAGAAGCCCTCTCAGAGGATTTCAACGAGAACCTGCAGAGAGACCTGAAAGCTCGAAAGAGAGTCCCGCAGGTAAAGTGCCACACTGCGCTCAGCTTTGAGTGCTCTGTTTTCTTAGGGCTTAGTGACCAAATCTCGCTCCTGGGCCAAGGCGCTGCCGCCGTCTAGAAGCCGCGCTGAAGGTCAACTCCATCAATAACGAGATATGGTTGCGCATGATGGCGCAGGAAGGTTCAGCAATTAAAACATTCAGCCGATTGGACAGCTGGCATGAACACAAGCAGTGTCAACGATGTCGCCGCCGTGTTACCCGAGGGATCAGAGCCATTTGTGAACGAACGTGCGCAGCGGCACAATGGACGCAGCGTCCTGGCTGAAACTGCACGGCACCGCTGAAAGGCCCACTTGGCATGACACTAGACAGCATGTCGTGATCCACCTGGCAACATCCTGCACATGCTGCGCCGCATTTGCAGCAGAATATGAACTCCAAGGACATGCCAAGACTTGCTTGCCCTCCCCAATCGATGCGCGACGCAGGGGCTGCAGGGGCTTGGATCAGCCCCGTTCTGTTCCGGCGTGGGAATGGCAGCTTGGGGCGGTAGAACATTTGCGGAAGTGATCGCATGAGATCAATGATGTAACAATGTATCGGCAGGTCAGTCCAAAAAACCAAAGAACAAGTTCCCCTTGGACAACGCTGACAAGACGCGCCTCGAAGTCATTAGCGAAGGCCTGCGAATGCCCGCGAGACAGGGATGCAATAGGTGACTGCTAGATACGCGCACTGCACTGTAGCGGCAAGGCATGGAGAGCAAACAAATTCAATCGGTTTTCAACTAGCTCTTTGCAGGACGCAGCCGCATCGCAGAGCCGTCAGTCACATGATACTTTCACGAATTTTCGCGGGACCTATATCGTTATATCATCCTATCAGCAACCACACGCAGAGCATAACATCAGAACTTCCGCGAATTGCACGAAGTCTTTGGTGGTTTCTTTCGCCAGCTTTTTGCAGACCTCTAGCCCTAAACTTGCCATGAACTGTCTGCTTTATATAACGTGGAAGACAATGGCCTTTTGTAACTTTTGCATTACCCTCACGCACTCCAGACTGGCCGAGGCTCGCACTCGCATGCGACACTTTCGTCCTGGGATCCTGAATTTCGATATACGGTGATATGCGGCCGGTGGTTCAACGTTGGAGTAAACAATGGTTTCCTGGAATTTCTGATGGCTTACGTATCTTATTTGTAGCCAGGATCATCCCCTTTGTGCTTCGAAGAAGCGCCGCGCTTAATTGGCGCTTAAGGCTGCGCTTTTTCAAGCTTTGGCAGTTTCAGCCGGTTCGCGGCCATTCCGCGTGATTTAGGACGCTCCCGGGGT